CTTGTTGTTGGCCATTAGCACTATATCATCTGCGTACATTAATGCTGGTAGTGCCTGATCAATAAGTTTTCCTTGTTTGACTAAAGAGAGGTTGAAGCCCAGTCCACTTCCCTCTAATTTTGCCTCTAATCCTTGTAGGTACATCATGAATAATAAAGGTGACAGGGGGCACCCCTGCCTAAGCCCCCGTTTTACCTCTGCAGGCTTGGATACCTGTTTTTCCCACTTTATAACTACCTTGTTACCTTTATAGATACCCTTTAAAAGATTAGTGACTACATGTTCCACGCCTAGTGTGTCCAGTATTCCCCACAATTCCTCTTGAACCACGCTATCGTACGCTCCCTTGATATCCAAAAATGCTAGCCACAGGGGCCTGTGTTCCTTTTCTGCTATTTCGACGCACTGCGTCAGTGAGAACAGATTGTCTTCCAACCTCCTGTGTTTCCGAAACCCATTCTGCAGTTCCCCCAGCACCCCCTCATCCTCTATCCACGCCTGCAGTCTTTCCTTTATAATTTGCATCGCCAGCCTGTAGACCACTGATGTCACTGTTATAGGATGGTAGTTGTTTATGTCAGCTTTGTCCCCCTTTCCTTTATAGATCATGCTCATCCTGCTAAGTTTCCATCCACGCGGGAGATGAGAGCGCCGCTCGTCGTGACGATGTGGCGACGCGCGCTCATTGCGCCATCTTGCGGGTAATGCTGAAAAGACGATAGCTGCCCCCCACCCCTAATGCCCATCAACAGCGGTAAATGGTACATATTAATAGCTTGCCGTTTCAACGTTGAAGGACGTGCTTCTCCGTGGCTCAGTGGTTAACGCCTCGCACTCCCGTTTCAGAGGTCCCAAGTTCCATTATGCGCACCGGATTCTTTTTCTGAATTATTTTTCTTTCTTGCGTTTTTTTCTTCACCGAGCCGTGGCCGATTCGGTGGCCGCCTTCACCTCCGAGAGCGGGCCGATGGCACTATCCACACAACAACAACTGGAATGGTCGTGGGCTGATCGCCTGACCACATTCAACATTACAGACCATTACAGACTAAACAGACGCAAGTACCCACCACCCCACAACAAATTGGACAAAAGACATGCCGTATCTCTGAGGTTACTACAGACAAAGCTCGGTGATCCTACGCCTGTATTATCCTCACCTATACCCGACGAACGCATGTAAAGCGTGCGAGGAAAGGGCCGCACTGCGGCACATGCTTTGGGAGTGTGCTGGAAATAACGCCACTGCCACCGCTTCCTTCGCGACGCATGTTAGGCAGGGACGAACTCCGAGGCCAATTGTTGCTGCCACCACCGCGCGAGGGCAGGGGCTGGCCTCCGCCGCGGTCACTGTTGCCGACCGGCCTGACGCTGCGCCGTTCTCCCTAATGGGCTGCATAAATTAGGCGTCTTTTCTTTCCTCTAATCACCAACCGATCGACGGCGTCAGCTGCGCTGCCGCTGGGAGGCGGCACTCACCAGCGACGAGCTGGCCGACCAGCTTTGGGCCGTCCGGCAAGATGCCACCCGGGCCCAAGGACTTCGAGCGGTCACCTGAGGCACCGCCATCATAATCGACGGAGAGTGGGAAGGGACAGGGGTTAATCCCCTCTTCCCCCCTTGCCCGGTAAAACTGTAGGACTTTAAATAAAGTTTATTCATTCATTCATTTTTGCGTTTTCAAGAATAGGTATAGATACGTATGCATATACGGTGAGTGACGGTGACGTCGATGCCAACGGTGCCGTCAAAATCCAGTCGAGAGTGTTCATATAGTTGCTATCGCAATAAAAAGAAAAACCTAGTAGCAAAGACACAGTGAGACTCGAAGCCGGGTTCGCTGCGTGCGAACACAGTACTCTACCGCTGAGCCTCGCTGGTGCTTCGGACTTGTTCGCAGAGTTGCCTCAGGCAGGCTTGATCTCGGAAAAGGAATGGCGTTGTTATGACTAATAAAGCACTTTAGAACAGCAGAAGAACAACCAGGCGTCGCACAATGCGAATAGCGTAACGAGTGGGTCGTCCAATGCTCCAACCCATCACGAAAACTTGTTCTTGATCAACTATTAACTGTGGCGCAGACCCACTTCAGACATAAAGCCCTAACCACATGCACGCGATTTCCTAGCAACAGCGACAAACTTGCTTCTTCGCATTGTCGCGTCGCGACGTCTGCAACCGCATGTCGGCGACAAAGGGTCATTGTTGCTTGAATGGAAATTATCGCGTGCATAACAATTGATTGTGAATAGAAGTTTAAAAGTCGGTCGACGACAACGTGTCAAGTTTATTACTGTCTTGTGTGACATAATGAAGCCGCGAAAGAATTTCACGACCTTCTTTTTTCGCAATCTTTAGTGTAACCACGACAGGCTGCACAGAAGCGTACGGTACGATGGCTGCGACGCACTTCGCACGAAGTTTTTGCATTGTAGCAACAAGCTACCATCGGGACATCAAAACAAACCTTCGATAACGATATTACGACAAAATTCAACCACTCGCCCTTTCTTCGCATGACATGAGAATATAAAAAAGTGTAGTCGATACCTTGCATTCTTCGAAGCACGCGCAGATAACAAGCATTGAGAGCAAATCACAAACGAAGCGAGGAACAGGGGCGCAGTCATGTTGACGGATATCGCCAAGCTGGCTTCCGGGTGACAAGCGATCTTGTCTAGTTTTCCGGAAATGAGGCACGCGACAAGCTGCGGCGACGGATGGGCCTCCGCGACAGCAAATCTTGTCGCTCATCACTGTCGCGAGTAGGTCTTAATTCTTCATCGTTATCAGCCCAATGGACACACTGCATCAACAATTGGCACAAAATGCTTTGCAAGTGTTCAGCGGATACCACGCTTCTTAGAAGAATGACGAAAAATAGCATAGCGAATGCCGGCCTACTACCAAGAAATAGTTATTAATGCCGTAATGGGTGATAACCAAGTGTGCTTCCAGCAGTTACCCAGTGAGTGTTTAGAAAATGCTCTGAAAGGCCGTTCTTCTAGCTTTCGCTGTGACTGTTCTGCGCCTTCTGTGCAGGCCTGGCGTTCTTTTTTTTGAACTGACGTTTTTCATTTAAATAAGCCCTAAACAGCTAGCTCTACCACATTAGCCTGTACAGCAATGTCTTCCATGCATACACATCGAATAGAGGCGCTTCTACCGTGCCCGTCCCCATTCCTAGCCCCTTCCCTTCGCATCTGAATCATAAGTGCCTTTGTTCTTCGACGCGCTTTCACACTCATAATTATAAACATTCCAATACCGGCTTTCCACAACTGCTCGTGTACTCGTCATTACGTGTACTCGTCAGCCAGAATATGGGGACAGTCCTTGGCAAACACCACCATTGGCACTGTCACTGACCGAGATTCGCTTAACTACATTGAGCTCGAAAGTAGCTTGAAGTTAACCTTGAAATGGAATCCAACACTACACGTTCACATTTTTAGGGGCGCTTGAGTTTTTTTTTTTTTTTTTTTTTAGTCCGGTTATTTAAGCTGCAGTGGCAGGCAAACGAATTGCGATGCGTTTGCGAACTGAGCAAAATTAAGAAACAACAGAGTATTTACCGGTGACAGAAGGTGCAGAATAAACGAAGGTCAACTTTAAAACACACACACACACACACACACACACACACATACATATATATATATATATATATATATATATATATATATATATATATATATATATATATATATATATATATATATATATATATATAAATGGAGCGCCGATCGCGCCGATCGCGCCGACAGCACACGTCAGTGGCGGCGGCGGCGCGCTGATCAATAGGCGTCGTTGGCGTAGAAAGAAATTGTTGGCGGTGGCGACGAAACATTTGGTCTTTACCGGCACCTACAAAAACCGCACCACCAAATTACAATTGTGCGTATAAAAGATCAAACTAACGTATCAAAACCAGCTGAAATCAATAAATTTTTCAACAAAAAAAAGAACAGTTTGTAAAACAAAGCTCCTAAGAACTCTGCAACAGCGGGCGCGCGTTCGATGGCCGCATTTGTCCAAGTTCGCCGACGCCGGTGTTCGCCGGTAGCTGTTTGATAACATTACATCTCAGCGGAGCACGCACGCTGGGCGTGCGAGGGAAACGCTTCGTTTTAGTCACTGCTCGGAACGGCTTTAAGCTCTCCCATAGTAGAGTACCCTGTGCTCTAAATCGGTACCCCCTTTTCTACCCCCCCCCCTCCCCCCCACGCAAGATGTTGGCGGGGCTCTAAAGCCAAGGTATGCCCCCGGGAAAGCTCCATGCTCTCCCATTGTAGAGTACGACGTACTCCAATTGTTACCCCCTCTATAAATGAAAAATAGTCCCGCAGCCGTCAAAGGGCGGAATAACATTATTTCTCAGCGGTGCACGAGAGATGTTGGCGGGGCTCTAAAGCCAAAGTATGCCCCCGGGACGGCTCCATGCTCTCCCATTGTAGAGTACGACGTACTCCAATCGTTACCCTCTCTATAATTAAAAAAAAATAGTCCCGCAGCCGTCAAAAGGCGGACCGAGGCTCGCTGGGCGCTTGTGGTCAGAAAGTTGGCCATGACCGCTACGCGCCTTGCCATGGAGATACATGAGTGTGTACTCCCGTAGGGCTTTGCAACCGAGATACTGCGCTGCTTTCAGCGCCACGAGCGGCTGGTCAGATTCTATGTCTTCGGCATAAATAAATGGCTTCATTATACATATGAAAGTGTGCGCACATTGCAGGATTGTAAACGAAATACCATCAGACCATTTACACCAAAGAACAGATCATTGTTTTTTACATGTCAGAATCTTTCAAGGCCGATAAATAATGCTGCAAGTATATAATTCCTGCGTTTGGAAACACGCATTACATTGTCAAACGATCCAGTTCCGATAGGACAATAAATAGAGCTAGTTCGTCTTTGTTTACAATTCTTGCAAAAGTGCTGTTTTATAATTACAAACAAACAAAGAAACACCAAGTGAGACATTTCCGGGAATAACTGCATTTGTATTTAATTTTCGACATTGCACTGATGGTAGGGTCTCTTGTAGCACCGTCGTGGTGGCACCGCTGCTGTATTTAAAACCTGCAAGGGAGAACATAAAAACTTAGAAGGCCCTCAAGCATACATTTTATCTCAGCACATAAATAGACATTACAATCGATGAGTTATGCCTTTTCGAAATAGTGATATATATTTATCAGTTATAATAAATAATCTATCTGGATTCAACATCGAACCACATAGCCTTGACTTCATGCTGCGTTGAAAAAAAAAATAACCGCTATACATCAGTTCAGAGGGCTGCCGATTCATCAGTAATTGGAGAGAAACCAACTACAATGAACAGAGAAATCAGCTGAGTCAGCTTTTCTAAGGCAATATTGCAGAATAACCTCCTTTCACGATTCCAATGGTATCCAATGTATGACTACGGCATGCAACAGTGGGTCTATTCCACAACTTTGTTTTACACAAAACTTCCACATTAAAATCCCTCTTCTTTAACTGAGAACTATTCAGGGCTCATGCTCAGAGGTGCAAAGTCATAGGCGTGTGCAGGGTTTCCCTACACTTTGGTGGCGGGGAGGTTCACCACGGCACTCCCCCTTACTTAAGTAAGCTTCCAGTTTTGTAGCCCCCGTCTTAGGTAACAAGTTTGGGGAGAGGGAGGCTGCCCCCCACTCCTATGCGCACGCCTATGTGCAAGGTGAAATTGAGCAACAAACAGGCACATGAAATGTAGAGCTACGTCTAGGTGATACAGCTACACAACTCTAGTGAAAACAATTAAAAAATTGTGCTTTTTGTAACCTACAGTATATTACACAGATATGCATGTTGTAACATGTTACAGGTCATTTCTACACATCTTTCTACAAGCAACAGATTAGAGGAAGCAAGCAAAGCATTTTTGTACCCTTGATTACTTTTGCATATTATTCAATAGCTAAAAATGCATTATTTAGGTACCTTGAAAAGGTGACAAAAGTTTTATAAAGAAGGAAATATTTTCACCTACCTTCATGCTTTAGAGTGCACAGTTGCCCATGTTCACTAGCCAGTATTGCAACTTATGAAATTGATAGCTGGTCATTAACAAGCACAAGAATCCACACTGGGGTGAGTTGGCACTTGCTGAAGATCTTGATAGGACAAGGATAGGAACCCTTTCTAAAGAAAAAAATCAACAGCAGAAAAAACATGCAAATTCAAAAGGGCGGCAGCACGAACTAGCACTACTTTGTGTCGTCTCCCTTTTCCCAGTTAAAATTTTCCGTACCTTAGAAACGTTTCTAGGCGGTAAATTACCAACCCGACCAAACACTTGCGTTAATAGAGTAATTAAGGAAACAGCACATCAAAGTGTTGAACTCATGACTATTTCAGACCATGCAGATGCCAAAAATATCACCTGAACCAACACGTCACAGAGATAATACAATTTAGAGTGTATGTACGAGCTCAGTGAGGAAATAAAATGTACACTAAGGAGTGAACACCGAAAGAATAATAAATTCAGCAGTCCATGTATTTTCTTGCACTCCTGTTTCCTCCCAAGTACGTACCAATATGCCCAGTAGGGTCAACATGTATGTAGAGTACTCACGGATCGAAACAACATTCGAAGCGCTTGGCCGCCAATGCATGTGCCGCCGCTCATGGGTGCTTGCGGATCAGAGTGTTGCACTGTTGTATATAGTGAGAGCAAAAACAGCTATGGAGCAGGTTTACTCCTTCCGGTCGCTAAAAAGTTGGCATTTAGTTCACAAAATGCACACTGCCAGCGTGGCGCTGCAAGGCTCGCGCATTTTCGCATGCATGCAGCCCGAATCGATGGGGACGGTGCGAACCATTTATATTGTGACGCAAGCAGATGATGCTCTCGATCGGCGCTCTTCGACGATGGGGCACGTAGGCTGCGCAAGTAAGAAATTGGATACCGCTACGATGTCGCGCCTGAAATGCGCTCGTTGACGTGATAAATAGCTGCACAAAAGCATAAAAAGTTTTTCAAGCTTTTTGTCACGACGAAAAAGAAAAGCACCAGCCACTTGCCTGTTTCCATGCAGCAATAAAACAATAACTTAGTACTTTGTTGTCTCGCCACGAGCAGTGAATAGTGCGGCTATTTTGCGTGGCAAGCATTCGTAGAGCTGTCGGCCACGGAAGAACAAGCGGGCTTCTCACATTTTTATTCAACAATATGCCACAGTTTGCCCTAACGACACTAATACATGATATTATTTCCATGTTGCATGAAGAAAAGCATCGCCACACATTTTCTTTCTTGTCGAGACAGAAACCACGAAGTAAACTTTTCATGCTTTTGTGCAGATGTTTATCATGTCTACAAACGCACACAAGGCGCAATCTACTAACTGAATCCTGCGTCTTACTTGCACAGCATGCGTACTGCATTGCCTAAGCACGCAGAACGAGAGGGTCGTCTGCTGGCCTGGCAGTAAAAGTGGTGCGCAGCGGCGAGCCAGTTTGGTCGACATGCGAATGTGCGTGAGCCTTGCAGCGCTGCCCTGGCAGTGTACACGTGGTGAACTACAGGCCGACAATTTGGCAATCGGAAGGAGTAGTCCTGCTCCATAGGTCTTCTCCCTATCACCCTATACCACAACGCAACACATTGGTTCTATGCGGACCCACAAGCGGCGGCACATGTACCGTCGGCCACACGCTCCGAGTGTCCTGTTTCAATCCGTGAGTACTGTACTTCCAAAAGAGTATGAATTCATTCAACAATTTAACTTTGCATTCCAACAAGGCTATTCAAGGCACTATTACAGAGAATGCACTTTTCTGTATGATAGGCCACCATGTTTTGTGAGCTGTGTTACATAAACACATTTATAGTATATTCATAGAATGTAGTGGGAACATGTTCCAAACAATGTGATGAAACATGAGTATGTGCTGCCTCCCAAGAAAAGCTGTCCCTAATTCAGATTATCTAACTCTCGGGCATAACGATTATCTGAGAAAGCTTTGTTAGAAATGAATAGATACTTGTACGTTGCACGATGTTACTTAAAACAAGATTGCACTACAATTTATAAAAATACCACAAATCTGCTCATACACATGAAAATTTGCAAACGAGCTGAAACAACAACCCCTGTAACTTCTTTAAACATGAATTTGCCAAACTCTTGTGGCAGAATGTGCACATAGCAAAAGTGTGCTTACTTAAATTCACTAAATTGTTAGACTTCATTGTTGTTTGCTGTCCCTTTAAAAAGCACAAAAAATGAATGACACTTCTACTTGTAAAAAAAGAACTTAGTTAAAGAAATCTTTTATTTCTTCTAAAAAAAGCTTAAGGTAGAAGCGATCATCACGACAATAAGCGAAACATGATTATAAGTAAGATTTCACTGCACACAGTTTCATGGCAGTCCAAACAAAATAGATGTTGACGAAAAAAGCTTGAAAAGACCAACAAATCCTATAAGAGGAAATGTCGCTACAGCCAACCTATGTGATATTTACCACAATCTAACACAAAGACCATGAGAGAGGACGTAGCACGTGTCCTAACTTTATATAAAATGGTCAATTGCAACCGAAGCACTAAAAAATTCAAGGTAGGCTTCATGCCGCGAATTTTCGTGCTTCTGTTGCAAGGACCCATTTTGTTCAAAGTGCACCGGTCTCAACCTTGTGTTATATTGAGCTAAATATTACCTAATGTTTAACAGACAATGCTGATTTTTTTTCTCTTGTGCAACCATTTAACAAGAGCTCTTGCCTTGCTCAAGACAGCAGTGACAAGGAACAGCTGTTCCGATTATCAAGACGCCTCCAAGTGTCACAACGTTGGCCCCAGAAACAATCCATGTTCAAGGATTGCAAACCAAATGATGCATGTTCCATGTCCAAGGAATACTGCACTGAAGTGCAGGACATAGGCTTCCCACACCTAAGCTAAAAGACAGTGTATGCTATACCTCAATAGGTGCTATGTGTCCGAACTATCACTCTGTGGTAACAAAAAGAAATGCCTACCACTTAACAAGGCTCGTTAGGGCTTGCAGGAAGACCACTTCAATCGTGCACTGCAACCTGTCCTCTGTGTCAGGACCATGAATAGCTGCCATCGCTGATACATACATAAAAGGTGCCACAAAAGATTACTTTCACACACAACAAACGGTATATCACACACAGATAGCGAGTACCAAACATGTCTTAGCAAAGTGTATACTGATACATTAAAGGGTAAATCCTTGAATAAAGGGATCATGGCACAATCAAAACATGCAATATTGGACCAGCCCATTTTTGCTGACAATTCACAGAGTGCCACTGAATGTTTTGCATTCACAAAACTATGTAATAACACACTACGCAGAGCATGCACATGTGTATGGGTGATTTAAATGATCAAAACAATATTTGCAAAGGATGCATGGTTTATGCGCATATGGCGTGTGTAAGAGCAAGCCATACATATTGTATTACATCATAAATGTAAGCTATTCAGGAAACAAACTGTTGGTACTCTGAAGCGAATTCCCATGTAGTTTGACTTTTGTTCACACAAGCTATCTGTAGGATTTCTATTATTACATAAGCCCTTCGCAAAATATTCATATTCTGAAACTTTCTGTCAACATCTGGAAACATATAAATAAGATCTTTCTGCATCTAATTTACTGCCTCACAAAGCAAAATAAATACTAAATCTCTGAATCAGTACAACACTGATGTAAAAAAAGAAAGCACGAAAATACAACTTAAAGCACCACACAATCAAGCAACATTTATACTACATGAGCTCAGTGTAAGTTATTTGTGATGGAGCACCTGGTATACTTCAAAGAGAAAACAAAAATTTATATGACTAACCAAAGTTCACACAAATATTTCAACAAAAGGTGTCATGTATTAGCTTAATTAATTAAATTGAATTCATATATTTTACTAACACTCGATATCAACATATCTTCAATGCAGCGGTAGGAGCGTACTCTTAGTTTCAGGGCCCCGCCGCTGCGGTCTAGTGGCTAAGGTGCTCGGCTGCTGACCCGCAGGTCGCGGGATCAAATCCCGGCTGTATTTCCGATGGAGGCGGAAATGTTGTAGGCCAGTGTACTCAGATTTGGGTGCACGTTAAAGAACCCCAGGTGGTCGAAATTTCCGGAGCCCTCCACTACGGCGTCTCTCATAATCATATGGTGGTTTTGGGACGTTAAACACCATAAATCAATCAAATCAATCTTAGTTTCATCACATAGTGTAGATTATTGAAATACGTATACTTCCAGTTAGCTCTCTTAAAATATTTATGAGGCAGCTAGGGTGAAATTCTAACCACAGCAAAATTACATGGATTTCTGGCACAAGGATTTGTAGTGCGGCCACGAAAACATGCTTCGTGTGTGCTTGACAGGGCTGTGTGTTTTACTATCTACGTGCCCAGTCGTGTGATTGTTTTGCGCGTAAAAACACACAAACTACCGAGTTCAGTGAACGTGAACTGCTCTCGCGACATCGGTATGTTTAAAAGCAGACACTTTTACAGGGCGACAAAGGATCAAAGGTTAGTTTCTTGCAGCAAACAGCCAAGGAATAACAGCACGACAAGAGGCTTGCATGACCGAAGGATAGATCGCGTAGCGCAACGCGAATCTTTAAAACATGCAAGCAACGCACACAGTGACTGTTTCTTACGGTGATATAAAATAAGCCACCTCAAAACATACCTGCCTATCGGGTCTCTGGTTCGTCCTCCCCGCTGTGCCAACAAGCCGCCCGGGCCATCGCTTCCTGCACAGCATTTTTCACGCAATGAAGTAACCCAGTTACGTAATTCAGCGGCTTTCTTCAACTTACCGAAGTTTTCGCATTCGCTGTGCTCTTCAGTCGCCCGCCAAAAAGCTCGCGCTCTCGCATAACATCAGCCACTGCTTGTCACACCAGGGGCCGTGGATTGTCTTTAGAAGTACACTTGACATGAAATCACGTGAACAACACGAGTAATCAATAAATGGAAGAAGAAATCACTTTTCAGAGCCAACACAAATTCGCGCGTCCGACGTGGCTGTTTGGAGCGGCAACGTACGGCAAGTCATCGTCCGCCACACGACCAAAGCAGCAGAACTTCCCGACACGCGGAAACTATCGCGTAGACGAATTCCAAAGGAGGAGAAGTATACAATGCACGCAATATCTATCAACACGGCAAATATGCAACCGCGGACTTGCTGCACATGTCCTTACGTGAAGCTGGTGGTGAGCCTGCAGTGCAACGAGGCCTGTAGCAACTGCTGATTTACAGGCTTAACCAAAATAAGTGTGCAGGTGGCAGCACTAACGAGTCAATATACAAATATTTTACACTAACAATCAAGTGTATCTATAACTTTTTCTAGCCAAATGAAGCTTTCTTGAATATTAGTTTTCAATATATGTAGTTACGCATTTGTATGTATTTTGTTTTGCATAATAAAAAAAAGTTTCACAACTCATGTCAAAAGCGATGGTCATCTCTGAGTCTCTGCAACACAATGCCAAAAAGTACAGATGTCAAGGGCAATGCTTTTGCAGCAGTGGCTTTGTCCGTGTGCAGAAAAGATTGAATGGCATGCATTCCTGCTCTACAGAGAAGAAAAACCGAATGTCCGTTCCCTTACGTCTCTACGCAGTGGCGTAGCCTGGGGCTGGCACACCGAGTCCGTTACCCCTTTCTGCCCTCCCCCCTCGCCGCGCCTTTCGGGCGTTTTTTTTTTTTTCGTCCTAGCATACATAAAGCAAAATGACTATTTACCTCCCCCCTCCCCGAGATCAACGAGGGATTCCTTTCCTTGCCCTCCCTTGTTTCTTTTTTACCTATGCCGCTGTCTTTACGTGACAGCTAGCGTTGTGACAGTAAAACAGGGGCGGGGTGAGAGGCATGAAATTAAAACTTCTCTCTCCCTCTCCATCACGCCTTTGCTCTCTACCACCTACCGGTGGCGGGGAGGGGGGAGAGGGGCACACGTTTGACAGCTGCCGCTCCCAGCCGTATTTTAGTTGTAAAAGTGTGACTGATATTTAAATACGCTTTCGAATGCTCACTACAATGATACGATGAGTTTATCTCCTGTGCTGCCCTCGGTGTCCACTGAGCCCCGCCGCGGTGGTCTAGTGGCAAAGGTTGATAATTCGGCTGCCAATTCCCGCAGGTCGCGGGATCGAATCCCAGCTGCGGGGCTGCATTTCTGATGGAGGCGAAAATGTTGTAGGCCCGTGTGCTCATATTTGTTCAAAGAACCCCAGGTGGTCGAAATTTTCGGAGCCCTCCACTACGCCGTCCCTCATAATCATAACGCGGTTTTGGGACGTTAAACCCCACAAATCATTCAATCATCGGTGTCCACTGATCGGCTAATGGAACCATCCCCCTCCATGCAAATGACAAATTAGCACGTCTGTGCAAGTGTTTGGAGTGCCGCTTCAGCGTAAGTGATTGACGCTATGCTTGTTATGGTTTTAAATACATATTCAAAATTTATGCGCGCAAGGTGGTGGAAAGCACCCCTGAATGCCCACGTAAAGTTTGCCTCCACATCGCGCTTCTGGCACCAATATTTCATCATCAATAATAGTATCATTAATAATCAATATTAGTATAATATTAATAATATCAATATAATAATAATAATAATAATAATAATAATAATAATAATAATAATAATAATAATAATAATAATAATATATTAATTGTTGTTGATGATTTTTAGATGCACCTGTACAACCTTATAATTGTTTCTGGGCACGCTACATGAATAAGTAAATAATAAATCATTGATTAATAATGAAATCGCAAGCTTTAGATGCCTCATTAAATGTAAAGTTTGACCGTTGGCAGCGTCTCGCATCCTGCAATGTTGGGAACGAGAAATGCATGCAAAAAATAATCACTAAGAGATGACGTGTCATTATAGCGTCACATGATAAAGTCATTACATCGCACCCAATCTCATCATAGCTTGTCCAAAGGCTGGCTGATTGGCTACGCAAAACGGTGTCTTTAACTGTGGAGGCAATGCATAACCACATTAGTTGCAGAAAGTTTTCGAAGGGTGGCAGGATGAACACAGACAGATTGTAAAATATAGAAAGAGTTGGCTATCGCCTTCTAGTTGCCTTACGTGAATGCAAAAGGGTACTGGATTAATATATTATTATTATTATTATTATTATTATTATTATTATTATTATTATTATTATTATTATTATTATTATTATTATTATTATTATTATTATTATTATTATTATTATTATTATTATTATTATTATTATTATTATTATTATTATTATTATTGACTAGCTGGCTTACACTTAAGCATGTGTATGAAGACATTCTCTTCTTGTCAATGTTATATTTATTGAAACATGATCGAAAAATCTATGGGAATACAAACTGTTTAGTGTATTAGATTTCTGACAGGCAACATGTACGTGAATGTCGAGATCAGCAAGTAATTGAATTAGACTTAGATGCACGTTAAGAAATCACAGATTGTCGAAATTTCTGAAGCACTCCGCAACGGCGTTCTTCATAATCATATAGTGGTTTTGGGATCTAGAATTCCCGCGATTATTACATTTAGTATAGTAAGAAATTCAGTTTTTGTTAGCTATGAAAGATTAACGCAAATGTTTTCATTGTGATGTGTTTTGACATTAGGACACGCATTGGAAGATATGCTTACTTTAATCATCAGAAATCGTGGTGCATGTTGATTGATATGTGGGGTTTAACGTCCCAAGACCACCATATGATTATGAGAGACGCCGTAGTGGAGGGCTCCGGAAATTTCGACTACCTGGGGTTCTTTAACGTGCACCCAAATCTGAGCACACGGGCCTACAATTCCGCCTCCATCGGAAATGCAGCCGCCGCAGCCTGGATTTGAACCCGCGACCTGCGGGTCAGCAGCCGAGTAACTTAGCCACTAGACCCCTGCGGTGGGGCAATCCTGTTGCATGTTGTCATCTGAGTCTCCATTGTACACCTGATGCTAAAAGACATTAGACTTTGCAGGTCTAATGTCAATCAAATGACTCATTAGGTGTGCATTAGCGGCACATTAGAGTCTCAAAATTCATTTTCATAAAGGTTAGCCTGCACAATGTCTTCCATGCATACACATCGAATAGAAGCGCTCTACCGGTCCCGTCCCCATTCCTAACCCCCTCCCTTCGCATCTGAATCATAAGTGCCTTTGTTCTTCGACGCGCTTTCACGGTTATAGTTATGAACATTCCAGTACCGGCTTTCCACACCTGTTCGTGTACTCGTCATTACATGCACTCGTCAAACAGAATATAGGGACAGTCCTTGGCAAACACCACCAATTGGCACTGTCACTGACCGAGATTCGCTTAACTACATTGAGCTCGAAAGTAGCTTGAAATTAACTTTTAAATAGAATCCAACACTACATGTTCACATTTTTAGGGGCGCTTGAGTTTTTTTTTTTATTCCGGTTATTTAAGCTGCAGTGGCAGGCAAACGAATTGCGATGCGTTTGCGAACTGAGCAGAATTAAGAAACAACAGAGTATTTACCGGTGACAGAAGGTGCAGAATAAACGAAGGTCAACTGAAAAAAAAATAATTTTATTTAAATGGCGCGCTGATAGCGCCGTGAGCACACGTTATCGGCGGCGGCGGCGCACCTATCAATAGGCGTCGGTGGCTTAGGAAAAATTGTTGGTGGTGGCAACAAAAAATGTGGTCTTTACAGGCAACTACAAAAACCACACCACAAAAAGACAATTGTGCCGATAAAAGATCAGACTAACATATTAAAACCAGCTGAAATCAATAATTTTTATTAAAAATACAAGAGTTTGTGAAATAAAGCTTCTAAGAACTCCGCAAGCGCGGGCGCGCGTTTGATAGCCGCATTTTTGAAAGTTCGCCGACGCCGGGAGCAATCGGCGCACATTATTCGTTAAGCCTTTACTTCATCGCCTGGTTCTGTCTTGGCTGACTCTAAAGCCAAGGCATAGAGAAATAAAAAAAAAAGGTTACGAGTGGACACTCCCGTAGACCCCAGCGGCCCAATCGATCATAGCACACCTGGTGGTTGGTGAGAGCAAGTGGCGTGCGCTTCCTGTTTCGGTTTGACTGGCGCAAATTTTGAATTTTTTTGCGTAACCGACGTTTGGCTATGACGAAAGTTCATCATTTTAGACCACTTTTCGTCGCCCAAATAGATAGTTTTTGTAGGTCGTTTTGATTTAGCGATTCCCTGTTTTGTTTTGTTCAGTGGTTCATGCGAATTGGTCGTGACGTAATTTTTATTCCGATTAAGTTATAATAAAAAGAGATGCAGGTAATGATAATTCACTACGGTTTTATTCATCGCACTTATGTTTTTCTTTTTGAACAAGTGATCAATGTATATATCAGTCAAAGAGACAGTATCCCCAATGTTTTATTCAAAGGCAAGGTAGAGTCTGAGAATATAAAAAGCACAATATGACAGAGGTAGACAACAAATGCATCTCGCCTTACAAATAAATTGTAACAAATATTGTAACAAATACAGAGAGAACACAGGCAACGCACACATCGCTAGAGTTGGCAGAAGCCGAGAAGCTGGTGAAGTATGACACACCGGGCCAGTGGGTAAGTAAGGATCTATGGCAAAAACACAGCGCACAATGCTGATGAAGAAGGAAGAAGTGACATATACACAGCAATGAAGTCGCGAATCACGCCTGGGGTTAACCGAAATAATGCATAGAAAAAAAGAGCGCACAGAAACCACATGACACAATGTAGCAGAAAGGCAAAGGTGCAGTGTGCTGGCTGTGCTTAAGAACAGCTAGCCCAAAATTAAAAGCAGACTTGATGCCTGCTTGTCCTCAGAAAGGTAGGGCTTTGCAGCTTGCTCACTACGTGAAAGACAAACTTTATGCTACAACACTGGCAGGTCTTGTGGCTCTTCTTATGCATCGCCTTCAT